ATAATAGCAGACGTACAAAATGGCAAGACGTGTGTTGAGGCTTAATAAACAATAAATAATGTACAAAATGTTTTGTTGATGAGCGATACGCATTCGCGGTGTGCGCGGCACAAGAACTATAAATTATACTGTAAATATTATAGTTTCGAGTTTGTAACAATTATAATTGTTAAATAATTATTTATACAAACCTAACCTAATTATATCATGCGCTCTTTTGAAGGGGGAGGGGAAATGTTTATTTCAAATATAATATGCGCGGGTTACGGGCAGGCCGTGCTTGAAGGGTGGTGCGAGCCGCGCGCTTCTGACCCGCGCCTACGGTGGCAATCATGGCCGAGCGTTTTCATACGGTTGTTTGGGGGGAAAATACAAAATTCGAATCGGTGGACTGAGAAGAACCGCGTAAAAGCAGTCCGTTAGGTGCCGGACATAAAAACTCTCATCATAATATTCACGCCGGGTACACCTACGTAGTAACAGCCGATCCGAATAGTTTGTCGCACAACAAACTTTGACATATTTACACTTTACCGACAGGTATCCGACGGACAACACACGTCGTCTGATAAATAATTACACAGAATACGGATCGCTTAATTCGCAGTTTGTTCCCCTCCACCTGTAATCGTATTTTCGTTTTGATATTGAGGCGGGGTGCGTGTTCGTAGCTGTTTTCACGAGGTGCACACTCCAAAACGCCACCACTATGCCTGCCGCAAAAACGACAAACGCAAGGCCGCAAGTTAAATAAAAACCGTTCAAGGACACCGTTGTGATATCGTTGCGCGTCCCGTTCATCGATACGAAAATACAATAGACGATATATACAACACACGTAGCTGTCCGACAACGGCAATGAAAATCGTTTCCTCTTCGTCGCGGTAACACAATAGGCAATAGCCTCGAACGGGCGCCGAATGACGAAAATATTTCTGAATCGCCGTCGGAGGCAAACATAAACCGGATAGGGTCAGATTACGCGTCGATATCATCAATAATCGTTACGTACCCGCCTACCTCACGCGTTGCACCGATTCACTGTGTTCTTATGGGCTGGCAGGCGGATGCCGTTAATTCCGTCGATCGAATTTCAAACGCGGACGGATGGCCGATCGTGCAACGACGACTGGCGATTGCACGCAATGCGTACGCGAACTACCGAACGCGTAAAACGTCAAAACGGTTATTAAATAAAACCGCGGTAGCGCGACGCGTTCTTATTCTGCTCGGCGACAGAGAACGGGCCGCCTTGTAAACGGAGCACACCAAATCTGCGGTACCGAAACAACGAGCAGATATTTTCGGGCGCGCGCCGACTGTGTTCTTTCCGCGGGGATGGTCCTGTTCGCGCGGGACGAAGTTTTGTAACGACGCGCAAAGACGCGGGCCGCGTCGGTTTTCGGTCCCGACGAATAGGCATTTAACTTCATCGAACGGCATGGCCGCACGCAGGCCCGCGAGCATTCAGGCAAATGCGATCGTTGTTCGACTATAAGCGAGTACCCGTACTAGAGGTAACCACTCGCTTGGTTTGATTCCATGAAGAATCCGTCGTTTGGAGAGGACTGTAAACAATACGTATTGGCAAATCGTAAAGCTGAATTCGGGGTGTGTGTGTGTGTGTGTGTGTGTGTGTGTGTGTTTGTTTGTCTAACGTATATTAACGTGCGTACGGTTGAATGTAAAAACAATCGTTTAACGGTATAATCGTAACCTACGATGGATTAGGTACCTACCATTAGGTACCAAAAAAGAGTCGGAAGGAACGACTATGTGATAAAGTGATAAGGTTAACTTGACCCAAAAGAGATATACACTTGGTTGTTGTAAAGACACGGGATGTGCGCTTTTAATTCTGTTTATGTCGTGTTGATTGATTAATTATAAATAAAGAAGTTGTGTAAACTGAGAATCGTTAGTCGTTCAATGCACACATCTGCCGAGGTACCACAGACTTAAAATGAACCTTTCTGTTAAATTTTCAAGCATTTGTGTTCAATCTAATCATGTTATCCTCGGCGTATCTACCAATTACAAATTTCGTGAAAAACTAAAATGTCTATAAATAGCTCAAAAATGGATCAAATGTTTTGAAAATTTGACCACTTCTGGAAAAAGTAAATATAAGTTTTCTGTCAACATTTCAAGTCTCTAGAAATATTTTAAACTGAATCACATTTTAAAAACAAAATTATTGTCACTGTATATACTTAAAAGTGACTTAATTTTTAAAGAAAATCAAATGTTTGCCATTATTTGTTTAGAATAACGATTATAATTTATCAGATAAACAAAAGGAACAAATCTAATTTACGACCCCAGCTCGTGTTTTAAATTTTTTTTTTCAAAATGTGTGTGTTTGTACATTAAGAATCTAAAAAAAAGTCGAACTTCATTTAGAAGTTATGGAGTTATTCGCGTATTTCTTAGTAAGAATTAAACATTTTGAAATTTTTTTTTTCCAAAATGTATGATTTTTAATGCTAATCCATTGGTAATCAAAACTTACCCATCATACTTACTTATATAGTTATTGTACATAAACCTTAAAAAATAGCATTTTGGGAGCACCTAGAGACCTGGCGTGATCACTAGGGTTTGAACGTTTGCAACTCTAAATCTAAGCCAGATACACTTATTCTGACTTGAATAAAAAAACTTTGTTATCAAAATATCAATAATTACAAATCATAATAATAATGAAAACGACCACATTTTGGATTAATTGCAAAAATGCTATGTTTTAAGGTTTATGTACAATAACTGTAAAAGTTAGTATGATAGGTAAGTTTTGATTATACTAATGGATTATGCATTAAAAATCATAAATATTTAATTCTCGTGAATCGGAAAACACGAACTTCATGAAGTTTTCCCCCATAACTTCCAAACGAAGTTCGTCATACTTTTTTTTTTTAGAATTTTTAAGGTACGAGCAAAAACACACATTTTGAAAAAAAAAAAAATAAACATGAGCTTAGGTTGTAAACTACATTTATACCAATCAAAATGATGATAAATTATTAAATTTGGTGGAATCATGGCTATAAATAATATGAGTAATTATATTAATCTATAGAACATGTCTCACATCAATATTTGATACTTTTGTTAAAATACCCTGTTAAAATTTTAATGTTGTTTTTACTAAATCGTGCTTATCATAAAACTTTTCAGAAATTATCGTTCTATGTTTTTTGTTTTCATAAATTAAAATATTCAAAGATATTATGCCTTTAATTTGAACTTTTCAATTAATGACTATTATTTATTTTAGATGTTTAAACAACTGGGTAATTATTTGGAGGAAAAAATGATTGATCCGAAGAACAGATTCCAATGTTTTATGTACCTACGATTGTTCATCCTGCAGTCATATCAAAATACTACTATTAAATAGCTGGTTAGTGGTTACTATACTATAATGGGACTGATGTGAGATGAGTGCTAATCAAAATCACCCCTTATTGAATTGGGATAGGTGCATAGAGCTATAAACTAGTTATACCTAATTTAGTTTATAGGTCTATAGGTGGGTTGCATAAGTCTGTTTTTACTTGAGTTAAGTGCGTAGAAAGAAAAAAATTGTAAAAAAGTGCTTTTATTAATACCTATTATTCGTTTTAATATAATTCTTTAAACGAATATATATTTTTAAAAATTCAATAATGAAAATATAATATATTTTGATGAATATAATGTGTGCAATGTCTTAGAATAACTTCTAATTATACTTACTTCCTTATGGCAGTTGTATCATAGTAGGAGAATTTTGGGTAAAGACAGTAATTAGGTAAGTAAATCATTTTTCATTTATATCTTTTTTTTTGAATTTATATTAGCCATGGTTTGTATTAGTCATTGAATCAATTTTTTTGAATTAACTCCTCTTTAAATACCTTTTCACGTGAATCAGTGTAAAAAACCGTCTTTCAGAAGTGGAAGTAGTATGTAACTAAAAATCTTGCATTAATAGCCCATTAAACCCCCCTTGGTTACATCACTGTCCGTACTTCACTATGAAATTAATTTTTGGGTTTCTGAGTGTGGCGAAGAAGCTAGGTATTAGTTTTACTAAGATGTTTTTTATGGACAAAAAAACAGGGATAATTGTAATTTAGTTTGTATTTACAAATTAATAATGATTTCATTTTAATTTTATGAAAACATCATTGATTGAATTTCACCCGGTCGTTTTTTCGTTAAAAAGGATTCATCGTTATGTATAGATATAAATATTATATTACCCTACCTTATCAATTTGATTTTAACTACTGCAGTCAGATACCCGTCATAGTATCCTGCACAAGGAGCATAGCAACAATATACAAAACACCCATAATGTATTGGTTTTTTTAATTAATTTTTTTATGCTAATTAAATCATTAATAGTTTATTTAAATTCTAATAGCTGATATCTTAAATCAATAGGTAGGTAAGAGCCTCATTAAAAGGCATAAGTACCTACATTACAAAACCAGGAGTGATATTCCCTTTTATTATATAACTGTTGATAAAAAAAAAAACAAAGCTAACTACTTAAACGATAAACATAATATTATATTACAATATACCTATAATGAAATAAATTCCAAAATAATGCATCCCAATAAAGAACATAATAATATATTTGTGATATTTGGTATTTATCAATAACTAAATACCATTTGAATAATTAGTTTATTGATTATAGTATTTAGAAGAAAATACATTTTTTATACATCTTTTTTCTATAATATCCTACTATTATATAGATGGAAAAATGTATTTTTTAATTGCTTTTGATATGAATTTGTATAGATTAGGTAAGAATTATGTTTTTAATAAAACAGACAATTTTACATATAACAAAGAAACAATTAAAATAAAATGACAACAAACTAAAAATATAATAAGAATACCATAAAGAAATACAATTTACTTTTTAAATTACAGAAAAAATAATTGTAATTGTCAGTGAAATATCTACTATTTAGTAGGGACAAATTTACCAAGTATTGATGATATAAAAGTCTATGGACATTGTGTAAACTACTTAACATTTAAAACTTTAAACTATTATTACAATTAGTAAGTTGTTTGCTTAATAATAATTTATATGTAATCAATTCTGAGTGTTATTGCTGGGTATGTTCTCTCCTCACACCCTCATATCATTTTTTTTTTTTTAATATATCTGAATGTTCATATGCTCATTGCAAATATAATTATAGATTATACAATAATAAACGTTCAAAAAAAAAAAAAAAATATGCATTCAATTTTCAGAAAATAGTTTTTCTTTAATTTAATTTATACCTACCTATTTATATAATTATAATTTAAAACTAAAATTTCTAAGTGTATACACAAATTAAAATTACTCACAAATAAAGAATAATAGATTAGGATATAAATGATTTGAATAAATCAGATTGACAGACAATTGACATGGACAAATACTGTGAAAAGTATTAGACATATTTGGTACTGTCCATAACACAATATAAGTCATAAAATAATTACAGTGACTATTCTTTCAACTATAATAGGATACATGGAATTTGTATTTTGTAATTGAATATTTATAATATGTTTTATACACTATAGATTTATACTTAGCATTATTTATTTGTAAAAAGAAAAAATATTTGTAAGTGTATAATTATATCTAAAATATATTGTACAAGGAGTCTCCCAAATCATATTTAGTAATACCTAGTAGATTATATATTTATTACCTATTATGGAATATTTAAACATAATTCTTTGTTTGAATTTTAAAAATTTCCTCTAAAATGTAAACTTATTAACTTTCTTATAAATGTCAAATTAATTTAGAACATTAGTTCTCAAACTGTGGTACACAGCAGAATAGGTGTAGTAACATTTTTAACAGGTCTAATACTATTTTATATTTTATGCAATTTTTTTTTTAAATTAAAAATACTTAATTAATAATTATATTATAGTATTTTACTGTCAAAGCATTTTGAAATAAATTTACTAAAATTTGAATAATTAAATTTTTAGTCACAAGTAGTACTTTTTAGATCCATAATACACATAAGTGGTACACACAAAAAATCGTGAATATGCTCTGAATAAGAATATATAACTTCAAATGGGTTTCAAGTAAATTTTATAAAGAAAATCAATATTTCATTGTGAAATCTATTATTCTATACAATTTGAATCATACTGTATAATACATTCCTACAAGGAGAAGATACTTGTTTTTTGAAAATAATTTTATTTTTAGATAGTAAACATGTAATAAACAAAGTTGAAAACAAAAAGAAAAACATAAATATAAAACAAAATGGCAAAAATAAAACACATACTAATAACTGTCCAAAAAAAGTTTTAGTTAAGTTCTACTAATTAGAAAATAATTTACATAAAATGAATAACATAGGAACCGTAGAGAAACAAATTTATAACATTTTGTATGCAAGTTACAAATTAGAAAAAAAAAAAAAAAAAATATAATAATTACTATTTCCTTAATTTATCATTGATATACCTAAATTATGTAGTTTAGTAATAAGTATCACATATTTATTTAAAATAATAATATATTAACAATAAACTTGTTTTTGATCTAGTAGTAATAAAATAAATACATACACAACAATAGGTACTCCAGTCCATCCAACATAAAAATAAAAAATAATAGAACTATCTTCAAATAAGACTTGAAAACTTTTTCGTCTTAAAATTCATTGATTATTATAAACATTTTTTCTGATTTAAATTCACATAATACTTAAGTTTTATAATTATTTAAAAACATTTTATTAAACTAATTATTAAATTATAACTAACAAAAGCATACAAACATTACGATAAATTCCATTAAATATCTATAATTACAATTATTTATATTGAAAAATGCCAAGAAATGTTGTTGATAATAATAAATAAAATACAAAAATGTGTTAGGAGTATGGAGTTTACAAATATAAAAAATATATGTACAGATTAATATCCATTCACGGAATGCTTAATAAAATTTTATTATTGATCACTCAATTTAAAAAAAAAAAATCATATAAAATAATACAGTTTTTAAGTTAACTTCCTTAACACACTTATTAGAATTGTCTCATTTAATGGTAATCATTTTTATTTACAGAATGAAAGTTAATTTAAATGTTCTAATATAACTTCAGTCTGTCAATCATCATCCGTCTATAATCATCAGTCGTGTTCAAATTATATCTAATATAGATAAATTTGTAATTTGATAGATAATGTATATAAATATTTAGTATTTACTAAATAAATACAAGTTTAGTAAAATGTATAAAAATGATTAGAAATGAATAGAAATAGTAGTATTACTAAAAAAAATTGTTTAGATATATTTACGTTAGGTATATCAAAATAATTTAAAAAAGAATGTAACAAACATGTATAAATTATTGACAATTTAAATTAGAATAAAACATTTTATTTTACTTTTTTTTTAATTGCGTTTTTATTAGTAATTGTCGGTGAATTTTCAACAGAAAAACTAGAATTGTGTGTAATACTGTAGTCGACATTACCCATCATCCATTTCCAAAAACTTTTCAGTCTAAACAATAGATTTGAGATTAATTTATTGAAAAATTATAAATATATATATTTATAAACATATTTTTGTTATTAAATAATATGTCCCAAGTAATTAAATTTATTTACCTTAATAGTAGTTCTTTCCGTACTGCTGATGTAAATTTATTAACCAAACAAAGTGTAGCTGCAGCAACAAATACTACATTGTATAAAGCAACAATTGTAAAATTACCAAGCCATTCGATTCTTCCATAATCTGCTAATAAATCAAAGTCCGTAATTCCTAAATAGATTATGAAAAAACAAATTAAATTATCATAAAGCCTTGTTAAAATTTAAGTTATAGTCGTCACAACAATAATTAAAACTTACCTAGAATTCTAGATAATAATGGTAATGCAGAGCTTAATATAAGCAGCAAAGTACAATTTCCTACTATGTGTGTTAATGGAGTTTGTTTAATTTTTGGACAGTATGTAGACACAACAGGTAATGAATATAAACCAACAGTTGATGCTACTAACATATACAATATAATAACAATCTCTAATCCAGCTCCAAATGGTCCCAATTTGGATAGAGAACTTACTCCTAAAGTAAATTGCTAAAGAAAAAAAAAGTCAAATTAACAAATAAATGATAAGTAGATATATTTTTTTATTTTTAAGTATTTGATTATATAAATATGTTTAAAAAAATTTTAATCTGACAGATGGTTTATGTGTTATGTGCACTTGTGATGTTTTTTACCATATTTTTTTATATTTTCATTTACCTTATCAGAATTACTGACAATGTAATTTTTAAATGATAAAGTATTATTGTTTAATTTTATCATTGATTAACAAAACTCTTAAATGCAATACGTCATAATAATAATGCTCACTATACAGTCTAAAAGAATTTAACACAATCATTTTTTCAATCAAATATATAAAAAAAAATATATATACAATTTACATATGAGTAATATAAGTTGTTTTATTTTGTTATATCATCAAAATTTAATACAATAATGAAAATGCTAAAATTATTTATATTTTTTATAAGACCTCACTAAAACAATTTTTGAAGACGCTCTAATTTCTCTAATACAGTATACAAATTTAGTACATTTTCTTATAAAGCTACATCTACACACATAATTTGTAGTTTAGTACATTTAGATAATTATTTATTGACTATTTTAGGGTTTAAATTTTAAATTAATTTCAAGTTTATACATATGTTTAATAAAATCTTAAAGGCATTCATGTGTTAATAAAAAATTGCACAACATATTTCGAAAATAATATTCCTGACATTTTACCCCACTTTGGACATCCTACACTTTGAACAAGTCTGCTTTTTTCTAGATAATTGATTTAAAATTAAAAATATTTCAAAATCAATCTTGAATAAAGAAATATAATTTTTCAATTTTTAAATTGGTAATCGTTTAACATAGATATCTATAATTACTCTGGTGAGCTATCTTTTTCAGAGCCAATGAAAAATTGTTGCGATACACATTAAATTCTTCAAAGAGAAATGCATGTAACAAAAGATAATATTTTTTTTAAGGAATATCACTTAATAATTTCATCTCAAATAAGTTAAAGTTTTACAACAGATATTAGATTTGATAATAATTGTGTTACATTCTTACACTGCAGTCCTAGCTATATCAAATAAATTATTTAAATGTCATTCTCTTTTATATTTAAAAAAAAATTAAAATTATATTTGTTTATCATTTTATGTTTCATATATTATACTAAACACCAGTTTATAAATAAAAAAATAATAATACATTTTATAAAATAAAATATGTTTGCAATTTGTATAATTATTTTTGAAAGAAATTAAGATAGTTTAGGATTTCAACTTCAATATGAGTATATCAATAAATAGCTTATAATTTGAAACACTAAAAATATAAATATAAAATATATATATTTAATTACTACGTTCAAAAAATACTGTTTTTAATATTAATATTATAAAAGAATTTACTTACTCTTGTATTAAGAGGTAATGCTTTTATTCCTATGAGTATCAAAAGTAAATTTTGTACAACCAATAATACTGTAACAACAGTAAGTGCTAATAATAATAGCATAAATGTTGGATATAAAAATAGTTTACGGAATACTGAAGTTTTTCTTTGTTTTTCTATAACAATAAAATGTATTACAATAATAGGTTTACATACCAAAGGGAGGGTATAAACTATAACATAAGATTAAATATAAATATAATCAAGATTACCAAGCACATCGAGTTTTTCTTGGAAAATTGATAATTTATCAATTAGTTCACTTTTCAGTTCTCCGTTTTGTAATGTCCTTAGTTTTCTCTCATTACGAGTAATGTTTTGTTCTTTAACTTCTAACAATGATGCTGGAGATATGTATGTAAAACCATTTACAGTAGGTTGGTCCAATCTAAATATTTGGTTAATTTTGTAATGTTTATTATTTGAAATTTAAAACTATCTTTTATAATTTAGATTAATATATAGACCCGTACAAATTGTTTCAAAATATTTGGGAAATTGGTAGACCAATAAATATATTTTCAGTATTTTAATATAAAAAGGTTAAGTTAGTTAAATTAGACTGGAATGAACATAATTAGTGTTTGTTATTAAATAAAAAATAGGTAACAATAATCTATTATGATTCATATTGTTGAAAAACTATCTTATTATAATAACGTTGGTAGTACTTTCTATTGAGGTGGTCAACTTCAAGTCGTAAAACACTGATCTCTTCATCTACAGTTTTTTGTAGCTGTGGTTTAATCATGAATCGACTTAAAATGGTAAATAATGTAGCAAATCCGACTGGAGTACATACTGAATAAAGAAAAATATTAATAAAGAAGAAAATATAAAATAATTAAAATGGTATTACTTAATAGCATGAGTACACCAATGAATGAAATGCAAGAGTATAAAAATGGTAAATAGTTGTTCCATAAATCTGTAAGATAAAAGTTATAAAATAATATAAAAAAAAAAAAAATAATAATACTTTTATTAGATAAAAATTAAAATGTAAACTTACTGACTAGCATATAAAAGAGGGATTGCTCAGCATAAAATAGTGTGTACAACAAATATGTCAATACAAGAACAAATATTGAAAGCAACAAAAGCACCGTACAAGTTTCATACACTCTGGCTTTTAAACCCTAGAAAATAGTTTTGTTTTATATTAAATTTAAAATATATTAAATATTTATGCAATTATTATTACTTTTCTGTGACCAGGGAAGCCTTCAGATTCATTGAATAAAAATGCAAATGGTAAAAATATAAAAAGGGATAGATTTGAAAATAAAAATACCAAGCTCCATAATCCTAAAAATAAAATAAAATAAATAAGATACCTATAAGTAAAAATCAAGTTCTAAATTTGTATTCAATTTAATTCTGAATTAAATATCAACACAAATTATAACTATTATTCATTAGAGTGAACAATGAATAAAAATAATAATTTAAATGTTACAAGTGTAAACCTATAGAAGATAAATTATAAACTCTATATGGAAAATAAAATTAAGAAAGACTTTAAATAGGGTGATAATATTATAGGATACCAATATAGTAGATGTTGGTGCAAATTGAAGTAGAGAATTGTTTAATTTATGTTATCAAAAGAAAGTAAAGGACAATATAAATAAACAAGTGACTAGATTTACTATTATATTTGAAGGGGGTACATTAAGGCTCAAAACCTAGGTAAAATTTAAATTAAGGAAAATTAGTATAAAAATAGAAGATTAAGATGATGGGAGATTTCCCTTTCACCCTAGGTCCTATAATTTCTGAGTAAAACGGCGGAACAAAATCCTAATAAAAGGCGTTAAGAACACAAATATTACATAAGAAAAAATATCTTACCGTGTATGAGGGAGTGATTTAACCATTGGACATAATAACTGGAAGGATACAGAGATAACACTTCATTACTAACTATGGAAATTGGCAATAGTAGGGCCGCACCAACAGAAACTGCCAATGAGATGGTACAAAGTAATAAACTAAAAATAAAATAGTAAAAATTAGCATTTCCTAGTTTTGTAAAAATGTTTAATTAATACTATTCTCAATGTTGACCTGTATTTGTACACAGTAAAATCATCTTCATCTTGAACAGAAACCACAATGTTGTCTCGTTTTCTATATTGGTTAACAATAGCGTAACTCAACGCTAGCAACAAAACGAATAGCAAGAGAAAAATCTAAAAGAAATATATCATTAAAAAAATTTGAATTTCAATAAATATTCTATAAATGTTTAAGTACTTACTATTTTCTCTCTAACATTGTTGTAGAACAATTCTTCTCGTTCGTCTGTTTCGTCTACATCGTCCATACTTTGTAATTATTATGTTATATACATTTGTATAATACTATCTGTAAAATGCAAGCAGTTCATGCTCAACAATGTAATCTTGTGTTTGTCGTTGTCGCCGTCGCCGTCGGTGACAGATTTATAACGATTTTTTTTTTAAAGTTGACGAAGATTTATGTACAGTTTGAAAAAAATGTTTAAACGACAACCTTGATGACACGACGAAAATTATTCAGTTGTTTACTCTTGTCACCGACAACTGTATTTAAATAAATAGATCGTTAGAATACGAGTATTACAATAAAAGGTAAGTAAATAAAAATAAACAAATCACACGACAGTATAACACGCATGAGACGAATAACGCTGAACGCTAAACTAAAACTGAAACGACCACATAGAGACTTCGGTAAATACGAATACGAAACAGTGTAACTACAGATATCGAATGAAATATGATATGAAGTTAATATATTTAGACCGCTAGATATCGCGACATGTACTAAAACGTTTACATTTTTTTGCAGTGGCCGAGAAAACTAGGAACACTGATTTTTTTTTTTATTGTGCATTTGTGTTTTGACGTCTAGTTTGGAAATCATTTTACGAATAATCAAGGAATAAAATAATAATAATTATAAAAAAGTCTATTTTGACACTTAAGTTCTTTGGAGTAATAGAATGTATTTATACAAATTTAAAATTTCTACGGTTTTTTCGGACAAGGTATAACACAGAAAGTATAAGCGAGGGCGATGCATCATCAGATTTGGGATAGGTAAAAAAAACACTCTTTATTTTGTGTGCGAGTGAGCATCTATTGTGTAAATAATATTATTACAAAAAGTGAATTTTTAATAAAAACAACCTAAACGCCATAAACACATTTTGGTTTGATGATTAATCATTGTTAAATCGCCTGCAATATAATAGTCGTAGTGTAGGTGAGTGGTAGGTACCTAAACGTTTACTGTACGCTATCAACAGGAAAAAAAAAAACAAAAAACTTTACAGTAGGTAAACTAATCGATTATTTTTCAACACGTTATGTAGGTAGAAGTACCCTAGGTATTTGATAATAACACAATACTCGGTTGACAATATATTATAACAATATATAAACAGAGAATTTCGAGAAACGATATATTAATATCATAATACAATAATATATCACACGGTGAAATGAAAAAATTCGTTCGAGACACAATAACGATTGTCTGCAGCTTTGTAGTAGGTTGGAAAAAAAAAAAAATCTCTCCCCGGATTATTATAATTTTTCGGCTTTTTCGTTATTATAGGTAGGTAGATAACGTCCACTCAGGTACCTAGTTATGGGTCAGTTACAATATTTACACTACGAACAATATTCACGATTAAACGACGAGGTTGTTTTTTTTTTTTTTTATTAAGACATTAGGTACCTGTAGGTGTATTATTATTATTTTATGATCTTTTTCAAGGCAGTTAAAACTATCGATACCTTGATCTTCTCCTGACCTAACCTTTCATATCTATTTCCGTGCAAACGCCTAGTGCCCAACGTCCCGAATTCGCGGCTGGTTAGGTGCGGATTTTAGGAACGCAATAGATTATCGGTTATTATTTGTAAACCGTTTTCATTACATAATACTTAATTAATATTTTTTTTATATGAATGAAACAACAGACCGGCCGTGCGAGGCGCGCGCCTAGAATTAATCGAATAGCATATAAGGTACCCTCCACACCTAATGTAGTAAACGTCACCTCATCGCAGATATCCGAATAGGTAGGACTCGGTGATTGGCCGCCGAAAAAACCGAAATCTAAATTTAAATATTTAAAAAAAAAAAAAAAACGGAGCCTTAGTCCAAACTGGTATTTGCAGACAAACCCGGTACGGTTAGGTTAGGTCAATTACGGTTAATTTCAGATTTCGATAATTTCTAAATTTGTATTTGTCAAACGTCATTGAATCCGGTAGGTATATAGTAAACGAAATAATATGTTCATTTTGAAAAAACGATCATACTTATTCTTACGATTGGCGGGTCACTGTTGTAGGTTAGAAGTTGGGAAGGTGGGTGGGTATAGAAGTAATGGAGGAGAATTTATTTACGTATGTCTGTACGCAACGATTAATCATCGCTAAGGATAATCGATTCTGATCAGAGTTCGGTTAAAAATGTTTTAAAAGGCCGTAATATTTATGATTTTTATAAAAAATAAAAAAAAAATACTACCTTAACTGAATTGCAACAAAATCAAAATTGAAAATAATAAATTTCGTACATTTTTCAGTTTTTTCCAATTATTGTGAAAAAAATAAACATCATTGTAACAACCAATACATTTTTCGCTTCGCTCAGAGTCCAAAATACGATTATTATGTATACTTTCAACGGAGAAGGTATCCTCCACAGACCCGACAGGTGTTCGTAAAAATGTATAATGCAATGTTATAATATTTGAAAATGTCGCAGTGCCGTATATTATGGAAATTATGATTGATTATTGATAAGTATAATAATGAACTGTATGACAGGCACAGTGGTTTGCAGTTATTTGTTAATCACGGTTATTGATATGATTGACAACGATTACCATTTTCCCAACGAGATGTATGTGATAATGTTGTTATTTATATCAGCGCTACGTTTTTTAAGTCCGTATAGGATATTTAACTCATTGACCTCTAGAAGTTCAACGGTTTAACTATACGTGTTCATACAATGCAATTACAACGGTTTGAATTCAAAACGGTTTCGTAACATGTGCCTAAAATCGATTTGAAACCACTACAACGTTTTGAACCTGCGCATTGACCATTTCAAACTGTTTTGAATATTTAGAAACGGTTTAAGGTTAGAACCACCGAACTCTATATTCTATAGTTCAGTGATTAGAACATGCTAGAGAGCCTATACATATAGGTTCTCTAGAACATACATATGGGGCAGATTTAGGCATAGATAATAAAGATTCTAATAAAGATAATAAAGATATCTATGGACTTGGGTTGATTTGGCCACAGACAAGGGCGGATTAACTAATGGGCCAAGCAGGCTTGGGCTTAGGGGTTCCATAATTTGAAGTTGCATAAGAGGCTCAAATATTTTTCTTCTTCTTCTATTAAAAACGAACAGTGGAAACCCGTAATTTCATTGAATTTTGGTTGAGTTATATCTTCATAGATGGTATTTGAAGTCTGTGGCTGCCGGTGACCTATATTACGTAGGACACCGTAAATAATTATTCTTACCGATTTTATCCTATCATGTTCTATGATTATACGAGGTCTACGGCAATATCAAATTGATTGAACGCATTATCTCTTTTAAATATAGAAAATGAAATTCTTCAAAGCTAAGTTTGGGTTATTTGATTATTCTGATATAGTAACTGAATTCGTTACTAGGAAATCCAGGAAATAAATTAATTGAAATTAGTATTTTATGTAAATGTAATTGATAAGTAATTATTATAATTCTTAGCTATTAAACACTTATTTTTATACAATTTTTTTTCATTGTAAAATGCTTGTTTCAAAAAAAGAATACAAGAGATTTTAGATTCTGAGCGGAGCGAGGAATTTATTGGTTTTACAATGATGTTTATTTATTTATTTTTTTCCTTTAAACAACTTTTCTACCAGCAATTTTACTCCGATTTACAATCGCAATAAATATAATTATATTTTATATAATGTAATTTTATACAATGTCTAAGGGCGCTCAATTTTTTAATCCGGCGCTGGCCATAGACGAATTAAAAAATTTGTTAATAGGTCCATGGATTATATCGTTTTTATGTTATCACGATATTGTATATAATCGGGATTTTTCACCAGTTTAAATTAAGTAATTAGGTACCTATTACTAATTGTGTTTGGTTTTTGCTTTACGTAATAAATTCTTTACTGAATAATTCATTATGGAAATTTAAATACGACACGTGTTCGTTACAAAATATAATGTTGCATAGATAAAGATAACAATATTCGTTTATGATGACCGCGTCAACTGCGCCGGGACAAAATAATTATAATTAGTTAGTACCTACAATTGATTTTATGAAATTAATGCCTATTATACGATACGAATGATACGGTCATAAATACTAATATCAAAGAAATTAAATGTTAATATGAACTTCCCCCCCCCACGAAATTCACTTTATTAAATTAACATTCTAACCAAAAATAAAATTATCACGTTATCAAATTATTTTGTTTTGATTAGTATTTATTTACCAAGGGTTTTAACGAATTAAAAATGCAATTTTGAAAAACGTTTGAATTGGTTTAACAGTTATGAATATGCATCGTGACGTATGAATTAGTGTCAACTTAGATGAACTGAATGTTAAAAGTCGTAATGTAAAAATTAAATTTACTACCTACCTGACTACTTGATTTTATATGTATATTTTTTATTTTGCAATTATAATATGAGTATGAGCACGAAGGTACAGGACAAGACAGCTAATGACAACAGATGGTAACGTAATGGGCTAGATTGAGTGTTATAAGTACCTAAGTTTTAAGAACCCTGATGAGATTTGTAGGTAAGTTCTAAAAGAGTTTGGTGAGACGACAGGTGATTTCGACTATGTTGTAAAGGTTTTACGTTTTTCTCATCAATTTTATCAGTGATGTATGTAATTCATTCAGGAGTGGACTGGGCCGGGAGGAGAAGCGGACCGAACCGGTAGGATTCTTAATAATTCGGGCTGCTACGTACATCATGTACGATTTTTTCTATACCATACTTTTAAAAGTCGGTATTCGATTTTCATAGGTTAAAAAAAAATTGTTTTGGCCTCGACCAAAATACTCCCAGTCGGCTTCTGTATACATTAAAAAAAAAGAACATCAATGCGAGTGGTCATACCTATTACAGTACCTATACATTATGCAAGGGTTCAAACCGGCTACTTCGACGGTACCCACGTATGTTTCGATAAGATACTATAACAGTAGGCGTGTTTTGGCGAAGAAACATTCAGTAGTTACTATAATTAATTCAGTTATTGATATACAATCACAGATATAGATAATAAACTAGATCTTATCGTGTCATAATTTTGAAAACACAATTTATTACAGACATAGATCAAATTTAAATATTTAAACAATTTCGTTTTTCGTGAAAGTAACAAATTCATTTTATTATTTGACACTTGTTTAGTCATTTATTGTTGTCTAATTAATTTAAATTCGTGATGATAATCCTTTGAACAGGGGCGTGTCTAGGGTAAAAATTCAAGACGGGTTCGATTATAAGAATAATTTGTATAAAATACACAATTTTTTTAAGAGAAACTTTAATTTATTTTTTAAGTTGTACTTACTACTTTGTAGTCATATGTATAATATATTCTTATAAAATAACTTTTTATGATATTTATTTAGTAAATTTAATTCTTCTAT